ATACATATATGTATGTGTACATAAAAAAGGAGAAAAAGCCACAGGCAAAGCAGAATATTCAAAATAGAAACAAGATCATCCATTTTGGTTGTGTGTGTTTTTTCCAGCTCTTCTTCTAATACGTGTTAGTGGTGGTTAGTAAAGAGCTTAATGTAACACTAGCACCACCAGCTGGTAAGGCGGGTTGACATTAATGATCCGCCCACTAAAGGTTAACTATACGCCCACTAAAGGGGAACTATGGACAGAAATAAACCGGTCCCACCGGAACCGGCCTAAATAAGCCCCAGTAGGGTCCTACAGGAACCGGACCTGTGGATAAGGGGCTATTGTGTCATCATTTCAGGACTCTTTGGATTCTTTCTGGTGCTATCCTAGGTCGATCTCAGCACCCCTTGAAAGTGTTTACGGATCTCACCAGAGGGAACTGATTGATTATAACATTCTTTTCAGAACTCCTACAGTGCCTCTGGAGTGTCCTTGACATGATCACCGCTCTTGTCATCTCTCCTCCCCTGTGAAATGTCTGCATCACTATGTACCTACGTTGCAGGGTGTTTTTTCAATCTCAGGCTATCTCTCCTCGGCCAAGGAGCGAGTTTGATAGGAATGCTATTTTGCCTCCAAATCCTATACGTGTCACTTTCATTACTTTTTCTCTGTCTAAACAGGTCTCATTTGTAAATGAGTCTTTGAGGCTCAGTGTGATTTATCCGTCTAAATAAAGGTTGAATGAACAGAGTCCGCAATACTGCAGAAGCTGCACCAACCCGTCTGTCAATCTCACACTCCACTCTTCCCTCAATGTAAACAAAACCCCCGAGATACTTGAACTTCTCCACTTGCGGCAGAACCTCACCCTCAACCTGAAGAGAGCAATCCACCCATTTCTGATTGAGGACCATGGCCTCAGATTTGGAGGTGCCCGAATTCCTTACTAAACAGGAAATACACCTCTGAGACCGTCTCTAACTCGTCCAAGCTTCTAGATGAGAATCAGCAATCTGGAAATCTTTCCAGATAAAATTATAAAATAAACAGAAACGATACAATATTAAAAGTGGAATGTCGGTTCATATAAAAAAAATAAAAAAAAATAAAAGTTATACAGACCAGAGATCCATCCCGCTGCAGCTACTCAGGTGTTTGGATGAAGGAGGTGAATGTTAATAAAGAGAAAAAGCTGAAGAAAATCAGATGTTGGATCTTGGAAAACACCCTAAACTCAGTCAATGATACAAACTGACTTCTGTTTCTGTTTTAGTCTAAAGTCCTGACTGTCGTCAGACCCACAGAGACCACAGGCTGGACTTCCTCTGAGAAATGTGTTTGTAGTTTAGTTCAACTCAGCCTGAAATCACCTTAATAAACAGTAAGTAAACCTCTGAGAAGTCTCTCAGCAGAACTGCATTGGTTTCAGTCGGCTCCATCTACAGAACATGATCATGGATCTGGTGTAGATGCTGCTGACAGTTCTGGTCTGTTCCGAGACCTAGAATGTAACAGTTTTTGGAGAAAGGGGTGAAGACGTTACTTTGACTTGTTCCTTCAGAGATTTAATAATTCGCTGGTTCATGGAGATCAACAAGACTGGAATACAAATTGGACAAACTTATTCTTCAACAACCTCCATCTTCTACTCTCCTGACTTTGAAATAGGGCTGGACAATAATTCGATATCAATATATGCCACAATATACTTTTATTGAATAACGGTGATGTGAGTTTTTTCAGCACATTTTCGATATATTGGTATGATTACAGCGCTTCACTGATGCATTTCTTTATCTGTTCGGGTAGAAGCGGCCGCTTCAGTTTCAACCCCAACAGAAAAAGGTGCGACACAACTATGTAAGCGTGTGGTGACGTAGACGTTACGCAGAGCTCAAGTCCAGAAGGAGTTAACGGTAGCAGGCTAGGCTAGGCTAGGCTAAACACCAACGTGCTGTAAGTTTTCGCTTCAAAATGAGTGCCTATGACCGTGAGAATGTGACTGAACAAGCTTTCACAAGCGAAGTGAAAGCAAATGACATAATTGATAAGAGAGGGAAGACTAATTCAGCGGTGTGGAAGTGGTTCAGCTATCTAAGATCCGATAAACTTCAGGTTTCTGTCAGTGTGTTGCAAAATGTGACAGAGTCGTTCCAACAAGCGGTGGGAATACATCTAACTTGTTTCATCTGAAGAGTTTCTACTCGATAGAATATGCGGAGAGTCACAAGATGAAGCACAATAAACTTTGAGCCAACGCGTTATGTTTATTTGACGGTGATTTCAAAATGTTTTGAAGGCTAAATACAAATAAAAGTGAACATTAGTTTATTTGTACAGTTTTTCTGAGGCTTTTCTATTGTTTATTACAATATTGGAATTATATCGTTATCGACCGAAATGAAGAAATAGGGGTGCGAATCTATCATTGTCTGGCGATTTGATTCGATTCAGATTTTTGGTGTCACGATTCGATTCAAAATCGATTTTTCGATGCAGAAATGATTTTTCTATTGAAATAGTCATAAATTTTGTTTCCATTACGTAACTGACGAGCTGAAAAGATTAAACAACAATGTAAACAAATTTATTTATTCATTTATTTAAAACTACAAACCGGATTCCAAAGAAGTTGGGACACTAAACAAATTGTGAATAAAAACTGAATGCAATGATGTGGAGATGGCAAATGTCAATATTTTTATTCGTAATATAACATAGATGACAGATCAAAAGTTTAATCTGAGTAAATGTAACATTTTAAAGGAAAAATATGTTGATTCAAAATTTCAGTGTCAACAAATCTCAAAATAGTTGGGACAAGTAGCAATAAGTGGCTGGAAAAAGGAATTGAGCGTATAACGAACAGCTGGAAGACCAATTAACACTAATTAGGTCAAGTGACAACATGATTGGGTATAAAAAGAGCTTCTCAGAGTGTCAGTGTCTCTCAGAAGCCAAGATGGTAAGAGGATCACCAATTCCACCATTGTTGCGCAGAAAGATAGTGCAGCAATACCAGAATGGTGTTACCCAGCGTAAAATAGCAAATACTTTTGAGTTATCATCATCAACCGTGCATAACATCATCAAAAGATTCAGAGAATCTGGAACAATCGCTGTGCGTAAGGGTAAAGGCCATAAAACTCTACTGGATGCTCGTGATCTCCGGGCCCTTAAACATCACTGCACCTCAAACAGGAATGCAACTGTCAAGGAAATAACAGAATGGGCTCAGGAATACTTCCAGAAAGCATTGTCAGTGAACACAATCCATCGTGCCATCCGCCGTTGCCAGCTGAAACTCTACAGTGCAAAGAGGAAGCCATTTCTAAGCAAGCTCCACAAGCTCAGACATTTGCACTGGGCCAGGGGTCATTTGAAATGGAGTGTGGCAAAATGGAAGACTGTTCTGTGGTCAGATGAGTCACGATTTGAAGTTCTTTATGGAACACTGGGACGCCATGTCATCCGGACCAGAGAGGACAAGGATAGCCCAAGTTGTTATCAACACTCCGTTCAGAAGCCTGCATCACTGATGGTATGGGGTTGCATGAGCGCTTGTGGCATGGGCAGCTTGCATGTCTGGAATGGCACCATTAATGCAGAGAACTATGTTCAGGTTCTAGAACAACATATGCTCCCATCTAGACGTCATCTCTTTCAGGGAAGACCCTGCATTTTTCAACATGATAATGCCAGACCACATTCTGCAGCAATCACAACATCATGGCTACGTAGGAGAAGGAAATGAACTGAAATGGCCAGCCTGCAGTCCAGATCTTTCACCTATAGAGAACATTTGGCGCATCATAAAGAGGAAGGTGCGACAAAGAAGGCCCAAGACGATTGAACAGTTAGAGGCCTGTATTAGACATGAATGGGAGAGCATTCCTATTTCTAAACTTGAGAAACTGGTCTCCTCTGTCCCCAGACGTCTGTTGAGTGTTGTAAGAAGAAGGGGGGATGTCACACAGTGGTAAAAATGGACTTGTCCCAACTTTTTTGGGATTTGTTGACGCCATGAAATTTGGAAACAACAGATTTTTCCCTTAAAATGATACATTCTCTCAGTTTAAACTTTTGATCTGTGATTTGTGTTCTATTCTGAATAAAATATTAGATGTTGGCACCTCCACATCATTGCATTCAGTTTTTATTCACAATTTGTTTAGTGTCCCAACTTTTTTGGAATCCGGTTTGTATAATTTTAGGTTCCTTTACTGTGCCAAATCTTTTTGCATCATTTTATATTAATAACAAAAATAGGAACAAATATAGGCGTGCATAACATTCTGTAACTTAAATTAACAGTATTAGATTAGCTTAGCTGCCTGGATTTTTCTAAAAAAAAAAAAAAAAAAAAGAGTCTAGAAACAAATAATTCATCCGTTCATCATCTTTACCCACTTCATCTTTTTCGAGTCACGGGGGTCACTGGTGCCCATATCAGACATCTCTGTGCAAGAGGCGGGGGACACCTGGACAGGTCTCCAGTCCATCACAGACGAATAATTCAAAATATATGAATACAAAAGTAAACAGACTTCAGCCTACCATAGTGCATTAACCTTTAATTCAAAATAAAATACAGACTGCACGTTTTTTTAACCATATTGCTCTAACATTTGCTGTATTTTCAAAACTTAACCTAATATGAAATATACAGACTTCACAGTTTTAACCATATTGATTCATATTTAGTAAATCTTTAACAAAACCTGTGCAAACCTGCACAAAAACTCTTCTGAACTGTAATTCATAAATCATATAATTTACAACTGGCTCCAGGCGATGCGTCTCATCTGTCCTCTTCAACCTGTTAAAAAGACAAATTACATTAACTTTTTTGTATAATATGAAATAAAACAGTTACCTTTGCTGCAGCTGCATCAGAGCTTCTCCCACGTTATTCTTTGTTTCATGCTGGAGTCGTGTGGAGCTTTATCTACGTGAAGGAATAACATACGTTGCTTCTAGCGTATTACAAATAAACCTAAACCTCTCACCTTCCACTGAGCAGTCTGCTCGTAAATCCTTTGTGATATAGCAGGAGATGGAGAGGGAAACCTTCAGCCTTTTTTTGGGAGGAGCCTGGAAGTTTGTTGCAGAGTTCGCCGGTCGGCTGCTTCGCGTTCATCTTCCGCGCATTTTGTCGTATTTCCAAAATACTGTACCGCAATTTTATTTTACACTTCTTGCAAACAACCGTTCTCTTGTTAAGTACTCTGTCTTTTCCCTGGAACATTGTAGGATCTAAAATGACTTTTAAAGACGAAGGAACGGGTTGAATCGCGCTGTCCCCCTCCTCCATGCTAGCAGACTCCATTCAGATAAAGAGAGCTGGCTAACCAGTGTTGCCAGGTGAGAAACGTAGGATTATCGTACTAGAGACATAAAATTATCGTATTTTGAGGGAAATTATCATGCACCCGTCATAACCAAAATAACAAATCTATTGATGCACTATAGTAGCGATAGGTCCGCTTCCAGACCGACTCTGCTTCTTCTTTTCTTTTTTCTTTTCCTCACTCATGTGGCGGGCGCAGCGGACTATTCAGCCAATCATGGCCGTTGTTCTGAGGCAAACACGTCACTCGTATGTAACATTTAGAAAAGCACGATTGGCTGGAATTTCCAGCCAATCGTGCATCTGTTTGCGGACAAAGATGCCTCCAGGGCTCACAAAAAAAAAAACCTCAGACAGACAGTTGCGACAGGCTGATGACAACTAATTACAATCACACATTCACGGAATGATCAAATTATCGTATATTTGGCCTTTTTTGGAATTATTGATCATGCATCGTACAGAGAGCAAAACTGTCGTACAAATACGATAATTATCGTACACCTGGCAACACTGTGGCTAACTAGCTTGCTGTACGGTGGCCTTCACGGCCAAAATTCTTAGGCGGCCGAGCGGACATGTAATGTGATATGCAGTATGCTCGGGAGTAGGAGCGGAAAAAATCAAACTAAAAAGTTCCTGGAGAAACTTTGACGGGGACTGCCTATTTATTATTAAATTATTATTATTAATAATAAATACTATTCATAATTAATAATATTAATAATTAATGTCATTCATTTATTAGTTATTATAAACCATTAATATATTTGATAATAATAAGCAATATTAAATATAAATTAATAATATTAATAATTATTAATGTTATTATTTGTAATTATTAAAACAAATCATTAATAATTTATGTTAATTATTTTTACTAATGAATAATAATAATAATAGGTGATATTAGGTGCCTTCCATGTATGTTGAACCAAAATGGCTCCCGACATTAACTCAGTTTCTTTGAAAAGTTTTGTCCTATTCATTTCCTATGGGAAATTTGTCATTTTCGTTAGCAAAATATGTCGCCATGGTAACGCCAATTGACAATAAAAGTAATAGCACACATCTCGGAGCCGGGCCGGTCGTTTGGATATAACTTTTGTGGGGGTCCACTTTGCGGTTTGGGTCGCAATAAAGTTGAAAAAGATACGCTTTTCAGGTGTAGAATAATAAGTGGGCAGTCACCAACTAGTTCCTGGAGTTGGTGAAATATTGCATCTTTGTTCGCAAATTACTTCGCCATGGTAACTCGAAATGCCAATAAAAGTAATAGCACACATCACGGGGCCGAGCCGGTCGTTTTGATATAACTTTTGTGGGGGTAGACATTGTGGTTCGGGTGGTTATAACGGAGATAGAAATGTAGACTCACTTCCGAGGTGTAGAATAATATGTCCTCAATTAAACACATTTTAAAATCAATTTATGGGCTTTTAGAATCAATTCCGAATTGCCAGGACTAAGAATCTAGATTCGGTCTAGAAACCAAATATTCAATGATGGAAAACAAACTTAATGGTGAGAAACATCTCAGCAGAGGACGGCAGGCTTTACTTCAGTGGGAGGAGGGAGAATTGGACGATGGTTTATGGAGACGCGCTCCATCTCATCTCAGGTAAACACCACAGGTCTTTATTAAAAAAAAAAAAAAGATCGGATCTAATTCATATTTTTAAATGTTTCTTCAGTTGTTGGCGACTAAATTTAGAAACAACAAACAATTTTCCAAAGGTCATAAATATTCTATAAATATTAGAAATCACAAACAGTTTGGTGACCTTTGACCTGGACGGTGAGACACTTTGGTTGAAGTAAGAAAATAAAAACTGAATCGCGTCACACGTTGGTTCTGAGAGACAGAAACGAGGCTCGGAGGTCCGTTTAGACGTAAACTGGAACATGAAGACCAGGAGCTGGTCCCAACAATCCATGTGGGACACCTCAGATTTCTTCTGTGGGCCGGTGTGAACCTTCAGCTACTGAAAGTTCTTATGGTCCTGCTCACAGAAAAACAACTTTTCCTATTCAACATGAAAAACCTGATAAATATCTGACAGAGGTCCTGTTGCTGGTGTCAGAACCACAGAGACCACAGGGTGAACTTCCTCTGACATGGTGTTTGTGGCTCAGTTCGACTCAGACGGGTCACGTTTACTAAACAGGAAGCAAACCTCGGAGATCGTCCCTCAGCAGAGCGGCGTTGGTTTCAGTCGACTCCGTCTACAGAAGATGAATCATGGATCTACTGTGGACGCTGCCGTTGATGGTTCTGGTCCATTCAGAGCCTCAGATTGTAACAGTTAGAGTTGAGCTGGGTGAAGACGCCACTTTGACCTGCTCCTTCAATGATTCAAAAATGTTCTGGCTCATGGAGATCCACAACAAGATCAGAGGAGGAATTGGACAAACGTATTCTTCGACAAAGCCCATCTTCTTCTCTCCTGACTTTGAAACCAAATATGCACTGATGGAAAACAGACTTGTGATTAGAAATGTCTCAGCAGAGGACAGCAGGCTTTACTTCTGTGGGGGGATGGAAAATAGACCAGATGTTTATGGAGACACGATCTGTCTCATCTCAGGTAAATATCACAGTTTTCTAATTGAACGCTGGGACCTCAACCCAAAGCTTCAGTTATTCTTCTCACAAAGCTTTTCCTGCTTTCAAACGATTCTACAGATTTGTCCTTCCATGGGTCATCAAGTTCAGGAAAGGAAACGTCTTTAATTAAAAAAAAAAAAAGAAAGTCCTTTAGGCTGTACAGACGGTTTTAGATCAAAGTGTTGCTGGACTAAAAACTGCTGTAGCTCAACTGTGATTGATGAATCATTGGGTTCTAAAGAGGAATGGTCAAACATTTAGTTGTGGATTAACAAAAAAAAAAAAAAAAGGTGCCATAAAACCAAAGGTATAAATTTTACCTCATTGGTGTCCCACGTGTTCAGAACACAAAAATCATCTGTTCTTTGGTCAAAAGTGTAATTAAAATGAAAAGAAAGTTCTGGTTTCTGTGGACGCAACAAACGGTTTATAAATAATTCTCTGATAAATTACGTTTTATTTGTTCAATTTTGTCTTTTTATGTAATGGGGGCCGAGATGGTGTAGAGGCAGGGCAGCCGGCTTGGGACCCAAAAGTCCCAGGTTCGATCAGTGACGTTCGATCCCCAGTCACTGCACATCACGTGGCGTCTCTGGGCAGCACGCCTCATCCCCAAAATGCCCCCCGGGGCGCTTTCAATAGCTGCCCACTGCACCACCTGGTGGTGGATGGGTTAAATGCAGAGACTAATTTCGCCATTGTATGGAAACATACAGTGCTGACATTGTGATGACATTATTATTATTATTATTATTAGATGTCCCAGGTGTTTCTCCATCCTCCACCGTCTCTCCCAGTAAAGAGTTCCAGGACGTTCCCGACTGTGAAACTCAGAGGTTGAACTTCTTCATCTATCGCTCAGCCCTCGTCGTCTCCTTCCTGCTGTCTCTAACAGCAGGTCAGTGAGTTCTTGTGCAGCTGATGAAGATGAAGGTCTGAAGGTGAACTGACTCAGCTGATGGTCTGTTGGCAGGTTTGTTTTTAACCTGTTGGAGGACAAAACGAGTCCAGGAGGGAGAACCAGCAGATGCTGAGGACAAAGAGATGATGCAGACTGAAGGTGAACCACCCGCTGCTAGTTAGTTACATTAACTAACCAATTACTGTCAGACTGAGGGTGAAGTACGTACTGTTAGTCAGCTACATTAACTAACCAGTTATTGAGAGAAGAAAGGTAAAGTATCTGCTTCTAGTTACATTAACTAACCAGTTATTGTCAGGCTTAAGGTGAACTACC